GGGACTGACCGTCAGATTATAATGCCCCCACGGCTGAAAGGGGCGAGCATGTTTGGTGGGACGGGGATTCGAACCCACGACCTGCAGATTGTTAGTCGAGCGCCCTAACTACCTGGCCATGCTAGGCTTGGATGACAGTAACAAACAAAATGCCTAAATCGTCTACTTGATACTCGTTAACTAACTCACAGACTCAGTAAATCAACAATTCAATGATCTACTGTAACAAATACCCTCACTCGCTCTAGCCTAACTTGCATTTTGAATCTCCTTAGGAAGGGGGACTCTAGCATCGTAGTATTGCATGGGAGCCTCAAAAGGTCTAAATCCGGCCCTGCACCTGTGTGACATGAATATGCAACTTTAGACATATACCCTTCTTCCTTTTTAAAATAAAGAAATTAAGTGTTTTTATGAGGAAATGATTATATCAATAGGCCGCTTTAAGAATCTACGGAGATTTAAACGTTTGTTTTATTGAAACATAAGAGCTTGGAGGTACTAATTTTAAAAGTGGTGAACATTTTATTTATTTATTCAAGTCTTAATGGGCAATTAGCATCCCCGTAGGAATTAGATTGAAAAATAATGAAACACTCAGCATATTTTGAACGAGAAGCTGAAAATTACACATCCATTATCGTTTCCTTTTATAGAATAAAATAAAATGATTTTTATGCAAAAAACAAATAAAGGCTGTTTTTTAAACTGTATTTATGATTTTACATAACAGTCCAAGAAGAATTTTAGCAACCTATATTAGTTTCCCTTTCTTGCGCAGCAAAAAGGGAAAAGTAATAGTATGATGGCAAACGAGATGTTACAGAGGGTTCCCTTTGACTTTTCATACATCTAGACAAAATATTAGGCAAAAATGTAATACATAAACATTACCTATTTTATAAATTACACTGGCCAAAAACTTTTAAGTAGTATCATCAACGCTTTGCATAAATCACCTAACAGATATCAGGATACCTTCATTTATAGATTTTGGTTGCTATCGTTCCAAACAAAGAATTAATCTATTTTTACTCAAGTCAGCGGAACACATACTTGAAACAATGTTCTTTACATCAACATAAACACAACATTTCTTTGTGCTTCACGACGTAAAGTTATGTAGAACAATGTTCAATATGTTATTTACCATCCTTGCATAAAACCATCTTAGATTAACATACTAGTCAGTATAAACATTATAATCCCATCTTGTAGTGAATAAAAATATTTCTATGCAAATTTATCCTTTTCTAAGAGTGACCTAGTTCTTAGAACACGTCTAGTGATCAAAGAAGACAAATAGACTGGTTCTTATATTTGTCATTTTTTGTGCCAAGTTATAGCATGTTCAGTTATTTTGCATAAATTTTTTGACGTTATCTAGCTTTAACATTTAAATTTCTGAAACACTTCTAAAAACAATTTAAGAGATACAGAGGTAATCTTATTTATGGATTTTCTGCTGCTTGTTCTCCCTAGTGGCAACTTAATCAACTATAAAACAATGTATTTCCATATGTCGTATCAAGACAAAAGATCATCTTCGCTTCAGCAGAGCAAATTAAAATACAAGTATTATTATTTTGATAAACAACAGCATGGAACATGCAGAAACATTAGTGGATTTTTCTCTGGGTATTTTATTCACGATATTGTTAAATTATGAAAGTTGCGTGCATGAAAATAAAACACACACATATATGCTAATTTTGACGTACATTTCTTGATTTCAAATGCACATTGCAATTTTTTCCCTATAATGCTGACTGACATGTAGTCACAAGGGTAAACTGTATTCTATGTTAATCTCCTTTCTTGTTTTAAGCAAAGACATTATCAAAATTCAAAAAACTCCAATGACTCA